ATTAGGGGTGTGTGGCCTAACATGCAAAGGAGTTCCTGCTACAAAAAAGCCCTGGTTTTGACAACAAACAAGGTAAGCAGAATAAGAAGCAAAAGGTGGGTGTGGCTGGATGACCACACTTCTGGTAACATGGGGCCTAATGTGCTAATGAGCTGTGCTGTCAGGGGTGTGGCCTAATATGCTAATGAGTTTCTGCTGTTGGGTGTGGCCTATTATGCTAATGAGTTCCTGCTGGGCTTTTTCTACAAAAAGAGCCCTGCCTACAAGGACACCAGAAGTCAGCTGTGACCTGAGAGCAAAAAGAAAAAGAGTTGGGGTTGTTGAAAAATTATCTGCCCCAGGCGCCAAATAAGCTAGGTACACCATTGTCACAAACAGTCAATTCTCTATCACTGCCCGTTTTGACAAATTACTTTGTGTGACACCAGCTCCAAGTTATCTTTAGTAACAAATAAAGCTCATATATCCACATCATTGTGGTGGTTATTAGAATTTCATTTCATGCTTGCATTCACAAATATTTAAGCTTTCAGTCTTTGCTGTTTAGCATTAATCACAACATTTATCACAGGATTAAGTATGCTGAATTTAAACTCAAGGTTAACAGCAAGCCCAAACAATATCAGTTTTATGTGCTGTCAAAGAAACCTCTTAGAAACACCCCCGAAAGTCCTTTTATGTTGCTGTTCACTAAACATAAAACAGATTGATGAGTACAACGGTTCATTTGTTCTTCTGGAAAGCACTATACTTCCTATAAAACTATGGGCTATAACAGAAATGCCACATGAATGTAATCTGTAAATATCCTAAATTCTAGATAGTTCAAAAGACTGAAGATTCCATATTATTTCAAAATGTAACAACTTGCAACACAAATCAAATGAAGGATGTGACAGCACAAAGACAAATATTCACAAGACTCCAGTTTTAAAATCTTCTCGATCTTCAAGTATGAGATGACATGTGCCACTGGTAGAAGGAACTCAGGTGAGAGGCACGAGAGGCACAGACATGAACTTGCACCAAAACACTGAGCCTAACTGTAAACATGATGTCACATGAATAAACTGTCTTGTACATAAAAGCCTTTAAAAGAGGCTTAAGACAGGACGGATCATGGAAGACAGGTCCATTAATGACTACTAGCCATGGTGGCTAACGGGGATCTCCATATCAGAATATCTGTGCTAGGAGTCATCCTCAAGGGAAGGCCTTGGCCTATAAGCCCTGTTTGTTGGACCTCCAGGGCAACTGGTTGGCCGCTGCATAAAACAAGATGCTGGATCAGATGGACCACTGGTCTGATCCAGCAAAGTTGTCCTTGTTTTATTACAGGATTCTAGTGAGTTCTCAGTTTTTATTTTCTGTTTAGGATGTTTTCATATCACATTGAAATGATTTTCCACCTAAAAGGGAAAATCACAACCTGAAGTAGGGAACCAATATTTGGGGGAAAACAAGCAGCACACAGAAATTATTTGACTAGTTATGATTAAACAATGGAAAAAAAAGTTACGCTTGTATGCAAATTGGCTCTCTGTAGTGTCCATCTAAGAGTCAAGGTACAGATGAACTGAATGGCGACTGTATGATTATGATCTATGCCAATAAAGGTTTTGAACCTGAGTCAAGGTACAGGATCAGAATTGTGTATGTCTGTTGCTTTACCATTTCATAACACAAGCTGGGTGATCAAACGACAAAATTCAAACTAGCACCCTAAATTTATGTTTTGCACGTGGAGGTAGCTTTGTTAATATCAAGAAGAATTTCAACATCTGATCCCCAGAAACAATCAACAAAAGGTACAGTCCAGCAACAGATACATCACAGAAATCCAAACATTATTTCCTAAATGAAAAGTAAGCTTCCTTTCATTTGTCACAGTAACAACATTATTCATCTGAATTTACCTGTAGCTTTATGTTTAATGTAATACAAGCTTACTGACCTCACTGAGGTAAATAAAAAAGGAGCATGTGGACCCATCCACACCATAACTTGCATAACAGGGATCGGATCGCCACATATCTTTCATCCACTAGACAGGGAGAAAAACACAAACAAAAAGTTAGGTGTTTATAAACCTGACCACAAGACTAATTATATATTCATAGGAAGACTCAGGGAACTGGCAGAAAAGAGTACTTTAGTCAACAAGGTCAACATAGGCTTCAGTCAACTGTGGGAAGTAACTGCTATAGCCTGTGGATACTTTGCACAGCCCGTCATTAGGGAATGAACAGATTAACCTAACAGTCACAACAATATGTCACTATAGTATGGCTAACCACAGTGAGCATGACCTTGTATACATTGAGATACCAGGTCTGGAATACACCCTCAGGAGCTTTTTTATTCTTATAATTACAAATGAATCATAGATAATGAAATTCCAGCACCTTTTTTGTTATCCTCAAGCAGGGCAGTGTGATCACCCACACTTTCTTCATGTGGGAAAAAATAATTAAATTAAAGGATAATTAAAATCTTTATCAGCTAAATGATCCATGGGAACTCTGATGCTCTACAACTCAAGCCCATGCAATCTACTTCCACAACTTATCATGCAGAACAAAGTTTGAGTCCAGTGGCACCTTTAAGATCAACTAAGTTTTATTCAAGGTATACCTTGAATAAAACTTTGTTGGTCTTAAATGGCTACCCACTGAAACTACCCAACATGGCTACCCACTGAAACCTCATGCAGTTATTCATGTGTCTAATGTTTTTCTTTTGATGCAAGACATAACAACAACAAAAGATCTTCTACCTTGCTGTCAGAGCAATCACAAGTAAGCCAGCCAATACTGGAACATTTCATACCACAAACTTTACATTGGAACTTTGCTAGGCAGAGATTTCAATGCACAGTAACAACATATGCCTCGTTCACACATTTAGGAGAATGGGGGGGGCAGAGCCCTGAGGTAGCAGAATGAGCTGTACCCATGTTTGCCTCCAACTCTAGATAGTGCTTTGCGTAACTCTATGTAACCACCAAAGGAAGAAAAGTTCTACTCCTTTTCTTTGCTTGCTGTGCTGGTCCCCCCACCCCACCCACTCCAGGGGCATTTTAAGCATAAAGAAACCTTCCAAAAAGTGATCATCCACCTGCAGCCTAAAGTGGTACACTTTACTCTGCCATCTCATGCCTGCTTCATTCTTTTGTGCAACTTGGGTATGCATGTGGGGGGAAATGGCACCAGTTTTTCATCATTTGTAATTCATTCAATTTGAGATAACTTAGACTCTTTCAAGAGAAGCAGGCCATGCAAAAGATAAGGCAATTAAATAGAGATTAGTCTTACTTTTATTTTGCCCTCACAGTGGGGGAAGCCATCCATAGGAGGCAATTCACACTGTTCCTGTGCTCCGTTAATAAGATCTAAAGGGGGGGAAAAGACATACACAGTATGATCATGTAATGCAGCACACATCATAACAGATTTCTGCTGTTGCACGTCCCTCCCAACGGACTGTGCAGATGAGTCAACACTGAAATACCCAGTGGAGATCTATAATTTAATACTGCCTTTCCCCTCGCAATAGGAAAACTGGAATAGGGTCATGAAACCAGGGAAAATTGTAATGAAATATGCGATTAAGAATAAAGATAATTTTTATTTTATAAAATAAAGAATAAAATTAACTAATAATTAATAAAAGAGGCTATTAAGAATAAAAATGGAAATAATTTCTCATCATTTATAATTAAGCTCATCTAACGTCCCAACCAAAAATGCAATTAACCTCTTTGATAAAATTAAGGAACAGCAATCATTCAATTACTTGTTGGAGTCAAATGTTGGAATGACAAATCATAAAATAAAATGGAAGTTTAACTGATTTAACATTTGCACACTCTACTATCAGTCCACAGGATCACATCCGTTTACAAGAAGCACTTCCATAACTGCGGAGCGGTGGCACAGTGGGTATATCCCAGTCTTAACATCTGAACTGTGTTAGTTCAAGCCCTGCGCTGGTGTGAGCAGCCAGCCTGTTGTCCCCAGCTCATCATCCACCCAGCGATTCGAAAGCTTCGGCAAGTAGATAAAATGGGAACCACTCCTTAGCGAGGGTGGGCACACCAACCTCCCTTCTGGGAGGGCGTTAGCTGACGGTCGGACGCCTGGTCAAGGCTTGTAAAAGGCAAAACAGCTTCCTGGCTACAAAAAAGAACGCCTGCAATGGATGTTCCAGCCAGGCGGTGGCAGTGTGGCAATTGACATACGGGTCCTGAGGCCTGGCCAGCAAGCAGCCTTTGTGTCATTTTGAATCTTGTCAGATCTGGGTTGAGCTCCATCACTAAGAAAAGCGGCCTGATGAAGCCCTAAAAAACCGCTCCTTTGGTTTGCACCACAGCTAGTCTTGAGCTCATGCCGTCTACTGCATGCTTTCTTCTGGAAACTCTTCTCTGCACCATGAGCCGGTGACCGCATCAGTCTGAAGAGAGACTTGTACTTTCAATAGGGTTGCCAAGTGTACTTACCCTTGCCGGCGGGGGAGTCTTCCGGGCTCCGGGAGCTCTCCTAGGACGTGCGCGTGTGCGCCACCAGCACGTCACAGGAAGTGACATGCTACGTCACTCACGTTGGGGGCGTGGCACAGATCGTTAGGGCCACGCCCCCAACGTGAGCGACGTGGCTGCGTCACCTCTGGTGACGCAGCTTCGGGGGGGGGGGCGGAGTTCCCCCCGGGGCCTGATTCTGCCGCAGTGGAAATCGGGCCTCCAAAGCGGGGGTTTCCCCACCACCCCCGCCCCTACTTGGCAGCCCTACTAGAAATATTTGGACCTAACAAGAGAGATTTTTGTTTCTTGGACTCTCAATAATTCATAGATGATTCCTGCCAGCTAGCTTCCAACTAGCTTACCAGAAGATAGCAGCTGACTTGCCAAAGAACCCTCATAAAGTACCATGTATCTTATTTATTTAAATAATTTACAACCCGCCTTTCTCCAAGGCGGGTTACAAAATATTCCAACCGTTGGAACAGATTAAATTCCTCATAAAACATAAAGACAAACCTCCATTACAATCTTAATGCCCTCTATGAAAAGCCCCTTTAAAAAATTCAGCTTGAATGGGTTCCAGAAATGTATCAAAATGTTAGCTGTCCTCACATGTGCAATTCCATGAGCAGAAGGTATTAGGCAGGGGGCTTTTTTGTAGAAAAAGCCCAGCAGGAACTCATTAGCATAATAGGCCACACCCAAAAACAGAAACACATTAGCATACCCAGCCACACCCATGAGAACATAGCTCATTAGCATATTAGGCCGCACCCACATGTTACCAGAAGTGTGGTCATCCAGCCACACCCACCTTTTGCTTCTTATTCTGTTTACCTTGTTTGTTGTCAAAACCCAGGGCCTTTTTTTGTAGCAGGAACTCCTTTGCATGTTAGGCCACACCCCTAATGTAGCCAATCCTAATGAGTTTCTGCTTGTGGGTGTGGCCTATTATGCTAATGAGTTCCTGCTGGGCGTGGTCAACTTGGGAGCCAGCTGGAACGCCGTTCCTGTGCGTTCCTGCCTAAAAATAGCCCTGGCTGTCCTCACATGTGCAATTCCACGAGCAGAAGGTATTAGGGAGGGCATTCTGAAGGCACCAATCAGAGCCTATATTTCGAGTGGTGAGACAGGGCTGCATAGAACGGCAGAGGGCACTCTGAAGGCACCACTCAGAGCCTATATTTCAAGTGGTGAGACAGGGCTGCATAGAACGGCACAGTTTTGCATCACAACATCAATCAACACAATCATGGGCATATCTTTTGGGTGTCTTACTGAAAGCTCATTAATTGCATCTTATGATGCACATTTCTTATATAAATGTACAAACCCCCCCCCCCCCCCCCCCTGTAACTGTTAGAAAATAGACATCCTATCAGGTGGGCAAAATAGACAGTAACTACTGCAATACTTGTTCTGGGACTAAACTGGCAGTTCCAGCATTTGAATCAGCTTGAGCAGCTGGCTACATGTTCAGCTGTTACTATAAAAGGGTTTTAATATTGGTAGTTTAAATTCTATTGGAACATGAACATTAACAGCTTATCTCAGAAATGTTCCAATAATGATCTGCTTAAATGTTACTTTCTCTCTAGTCATAAACCTATGAAATAGTACTTTGGATCCACAGCATTCCCTTTATCCTGAAAGGGTACATGACATTGCCGACATTTTCTTATTTAAAGGTTTAAAGTAGGTTCAAAGTAATTCACAGTCCCAGAATTTAAGGCTATGAGTTGCTTTACACTTGATGTGGCACCATGGGTACACTGATGCTTACCAAACAAAAGTGCAAAAAGGAGCAACGCATCTGCAAACAGGCATTCGATAAGAACAAAGGTGTAATCAGCACTCACAGAGCCTCTGTACATGCCCAAACTTTGTCAGAGTGTTTAAGGATCTGTGCATTTTGTATCTGCACTTCTTCTTCTGGAAATGCACTCAGCTCATGGTGCTATCTAAAGTGTGAGCCAAACTACATCTTACAAATTGTACAAGTTCACTATGGGGCCTAGCAGCCATACTGCAGCTATGAGTTCCCAGTGGCAATTACATTCAGAAGTGCCACAGGGGTCTGACTCTGATTGGGAGCATGGAGTGGAAAGAGAGGATCCTGTATCCCTCCCCCACCCCATGCCATTTTTTAAAAGCCAAACTGGTGTTAGGGGTATTATCTGCCCTATTGTGGCAAGCATTAAGTGCATGCACAGCCCCCTGATAGGGAGAAATTACACCCGCTGGAGGGGGCAGGAGCCCCTGGGGTGAACTTGTGCCACATGTTAGCCACCCTGAGCCACTGGGAGGGTGGGATACAAATCTATAAATAAATAAATAAAAACTTTTAATATGCAGTTTGTCCCGTAAAGCAGTTCTTAGTGCATCATGCTGAGAAGACCCAAAGTTCAAAGCATTTTCAGACTTATACTATCCTCTACATTTTCTTTGATAAGGTTTGTTTAACATGTGACATAGGCACCAAAGCTCAAATCATTGTCATAAAGGAAATCCTGGGGCTTTTAAATAAAATGTTACGAATAATCAATATATAAAGGTTTACTTGTCAATAATACTGGCATATCTGGAAACTATTCTGAAGATAACCTGTAAGGGGAACCTGGGATTGTGCTTGAAGGGTGCTGCTATCAGATCACTTTCAGGGCACTTGAATTCACAGGAATTCAGAAAAATCTTGAAAGGCAACATCCAATCCAGACTGAACTGGACATGTTTTTTACTATTATTTTATAAAGTACAATAAAACTACTGTTTTATAAAGTCATGGTCTTGTCCTTCAGTACACAATCTGTAAACTAATTTGAAGAGAAGTTTGCATAAGATTCATTATAGAATTTTCTGCCACAGACTTGAATGGAAAGTCCTCTTCGTAAGGGTTATTCATAACTCCTAGCCAGCTTGAGAAAAAAAAAAAACTTTCTCTATTACTCTACTCTCTCCCCCACCAAACCTGGTATCTTTTGCACAAGCTAGAACAAGGTAGAATGAAAAGACCATACAAAGATTCAAGAAAGCAACTGCCACCTCTCATTTACAACTAGGAACAGCTGATGCCCATTTTTCACTTTTCTTCTACAGACAGCAATATACACATCTTCTCTCTGAGTTTTCTATTTAGTACTAACAACAGCTTGCCATGACTACTGAATTTTCACACTATGGTTAGGATTTGCTGTCTAAAATATGCTATCCATAAATTGCCAAAAACAGATGTTATTGCTTTATTACTCCTGAACTGAAAATTCTCACACTCTTGTAGGTATCTTCCTGCTGTATGTTCTATGGGAAAACAATACTGAGTCCGAAGGAACAGTGCCTCACACAATAATGGTTTTTGGGAGCTCCCGGCTGCCGCCGAAGGCAATGGCGGCCGGAGGCTGATTTGCCGCCGCGGGGAAGGCGGGGCCAAGGCAGCGTCCCAGCGCGGAGAGCTGGGACGTGGGGAGGGGCGGAGCCGGCCTGGCTAGGCACGGCTGTGCCCCCGCCCCCCTTTGTGAGTTGCAGCCTCGTGCTCGGCGTGAGCGGACGGAGGCTGAGGTGCTGCCTTGCTGCTGGGCCCCCGGGCTTTGTTTGGTGCCGAGGGCCTCAGCTGAAGCGGCGGCATCGGCGGCGGACGATCGCCGGGACGACAGCCGGAGCGGGTCGTTCTGCGGCGGCAGCTGGGGAGCCTACCGCAGCAGGGAGTACTCCCCGGGCAGGCGGGGGCGCGAGGGCGCGAGGCCGCGCCGGAGCGCACGTAGCGGCTTGGGGGCTGACGAGGGCCGGTAGCACCGGACGGTGGGCGCGCGGCGGGGGGCGGCGAGGCCGGGGGGTTCAGCCCCT